CCAGCCAAGTGGAATGGAACTTCGTCACCCTGGAGGGATGGTGGGGTGAGTCGGTCCTCAATTGCTACTGCATTTTAAATAACTTTAATTCCTTTTTTTTATTTAAAGCTTTCGTGACTGCAGGGATTCATATTCTTGGTTCTTTCGGTAAAGTCACGTAGAAGGGAAATAATAAAAATATAAAACAATAAAATTCTCACGACGTTTCGACTGCAACACAAGCAATCATCATCAGGTGTGAAAACCACAACAAGAAATTTTGAAAAAAGTGGCGGTTTTTTTACGTTAGCACCACGGAGAAGGAGTTGACAGTTTGTTCAGATGGACGAGTCCATCTATGCTCGGAAAAGAGGAGGGGGGAGACGAAAAATAATGGATGCGGTCTGAAAGCCACCTTAAGCTGATCAATCAATTAAGACCCGAAATGGTGTATCAAATCCTTCCAATGATTGCTAAGCCAGAATCCATCTTCTCGGTTGAAATTGTCTGTGTTTGTATATGTGGATAGCCTCATGAACGAATCTCTCATGGTAGCCAGATGGTTTGCAAAGAAGTCAATGTCATGTGAACCTACTGAATTATAACAGTGATCTGCCATGGCTGAGGTGTTGGTCCTACCGTGTTTAAGGTCTGCTTTGTGTTCACGAATGCGGTCCGAGACATGTCGTTTGGTTTCTACAATGTAACTACTACAACAGAGGCAACTTAGTTTGTAGACGCCAGGGTACTGTATGTCCGGAATCCCATCTTTTACAGATGGAACCAGATCACGGATTTTATGTAATGTGTTGAATCGGACCTGGATCTTGCGTTTATTCAAGATTTGGGAGATATTTTTTGTGATCCCTGCAATGTAGGGTAAAGTGATGGTTTTGAAAGGCTCCTCAAGAGGGTCCTTCTTAATGGTGGGAATGATAGCTTTGCGGATTGTGTAGTCGGAATAACCATTAGCCTTAAGAGCTTGGTGTACATGCTTGAGTTCACTGGCTATGTGTTCTTGGTCGGATATGCTTCGGGCTCTATGGTGCAGAGTCTTGATGAGGGAATTCTTCTGGGATGGATGGTGGTGGGAATCCGGTTTCAGGTAAGCATCCGTATGGGTAGCTTTCCTGTAGACAGAGTGGCTCATTGAACCATCAGGTCTCTTTTTTATTAGGACAGCCAATAAAGGTAGCTTGCCATCTTTTTCGACTTCCATGGTAAATCTGATGGCTGGGTGTATGGAATTGATGTGGTCGAAGAATTGGTCTAGAGCATGCCGGCCATGTGGCCAGATGACAAAAGTGTCATCCATGTACCTCTTCCATAAGGTTGGGCGCAGAGTGGCAGTCTGGATGGCGTCAGTCTCAAATTTCTCCATAAAAATGTTGGCTCTGCTAAGGCACAATCCAGCTGGATTAAAATGCATTAAGGTAATAAAACGTGGAGCTCTTGGATATTAAAATACAGTAACGGTTATTATAATGCGTCTAATATGATTTTAACCAACAGCAAAGCGTGGATAATTTAGGCAATGAGACTGAGCAACTCAATACGAGTGTAGATATGGGCTGCATAAGCATGACACGAGCATTGTCAAGCTTGGAATTACCTCGAATTATTTATTTCGTTGACCAGTAATTGTAAGGAATACTGCACAGGAATGAAAACGATGCGTGTATAATGTTGTTTGCATTGTTGTGGTTAAGTTGAATTGGCTGCCAGATTTAAAATAATCGGTTTAAAATTATTTCAGGTAATTTTGCAAATGTTAAATCATCATTTGTTATTCTGTCAGATTTAATCAAATAATACTTTTTTTACGACTGTAATGTAGTATTTGCAAGTTTACTATTGGCAACATTGTAAAGCTTGGTATACACTGCCAGGTTAAGAATACTGCACCTTTTCCTACATCAGAAGTTTCAAAAAGTAGCATTTGCATGGTCCAGTGTATTGTTTTCCTGTCTCACGTGGCATGTGTCAGTGTTACTGATGCTTGATAATGGCTCTGTGGTAGATGAGATTTGTTGGTATAATAAGGGCAGTTGAAATTGTATCACATCAAAAAAGGAACAACTATTGAGGGCAAGTTGAAGTTTAAACAACTTGAATTAAAAAAGTGCATTTGACATATAAAATATGATGTATTTATTATGAATATTTATAAAGTGTCATAAGGTATTTTGAGGGATTATTTTAATCATGGTGTACATGTTAGAAAGCAAAGTTCGAAATTTCCTCACCGCCATCTGCATTGCCGACCAGCTTGGAGCTCGTTTTAAATACCGTGCCTTTGACTGTCTATGAATACATTATGATAACAACATTTACCTATATGTAAGTATGTATGTAGAACTTCATTCACAACGTATGTATTACAACCGTGCTAATCGGAGGTGCGGGGAAGGACAACAAACTAAACACAAACGGCAGTTCCGTATAATTAAGTTTACTTGTCAGAATAAAGATTACCTAACCACATTCTCTCAACCACTCCACTACATTATAGACAATTTTACATTTTTCTTTAAAGGTGAATTAAGAAGAGTAGCCTCATAATGACACTAACTAAAAATAACAATGTGCTTCAAGTTGCAGTGTTTATAATTCCTACATCAATAAAACCAACACAAAGAAACCACTTCATACATGAAGAGTTTTCTCTTGGAATCCCTTTGTATTTACCTAGCATGGATAGCTTAGTGGTCAATGTGCTCCCAATAAGCCAGTTTGCTATGTGATTGTTTGATTGCTGCACCAACCTAGTGATGTCGAGGGGAATTACTTAAGCAGCAACGTTGCTACCATAGGGACTCTAAACACCTTGTAATACCATTATTATTTTTTACCGGTGGGCTATTGTGTGCTGTTATCACATCCCAAGCACAAAATCTTATAGTTCCCTGCATAATGACAAAACATACATATGTAACGTATTCAGGTAATTGTGTCACCTCAAGTGTCAAATTTTCAAAAGTGAATGTGACCTTAAATTTCGATTTAAAGCTTTCGTGACTGCAGGGATTCATATTCTTTGTTATTTCGGTAAAGTCACGTCGAAGGGAAATAATAAAATAATACAATGATGATTGCTTGTGTTGCAATCGAAACGTCGTGAGAATTTTATTGTTTTATTTGTATTATTTTATTATTCCCCTTCTACGTGACTTTACCGAAAGAACCAATAATATGAATGTGACCTATTTAAAAAAATGAAACAAAAAACATCACAGTCACTTATCACATATTAAAGAAACAACTGTGATATATATTCACAACGGTACATCCTGCGAAACGTTGACATTCACATATGCATTTTGAATTGCTGAGACAGTGAATGTTTAATTAACCTCCATTGTGCCTCAATCGTTTCACAATCCCGTAAATTACATCTCAAAGTGTACACGAACGCCGTGTCGTGTTTGGCACATACCGACATTGGGCAGGATGCCTTAGCTTCTAACGGAGACCTTGGGCAATAATAATTACGGTTTGACATGAGTGGTTCAGAAAGGATTGCCAGATTTTAAATAATAACAATAAATTAAACAGGTTCTTTATTAATTCTTCCAAACTTCACATAAAATGATAGACAGCTTATTGTGAGGGTCTACAGAATTTTTTTTTTTACAATTTATATCGTTTTTACAGTTGATTAATAACGTAATTGTGAGTGTTTAAAAGTCAGCAATTCAAGTTGCAAAAGCTAGAGCGTTTAATTTTGGTGATGGTATGTTTTGTATTTTCTTCGTCGAATAACTGCATTACCATATATTCTGAAACTTAGTTATTATTATTATCGTATTTACATTTATTGATATACTGTATATCAATTGGAATCTTAGAGGCTAAATACAGAACACTTCGTCAAGTAAATTATATTGCGGTGGAACGTTGAGAATAATATACATAGCAATCAAGCGTTTAAGGTGCGCGGTAATGGTATGGGGGCCTTGGAAAGTACATCATTTCGTGCTCTGTTGTGGCTTGTTGTGAAAATAAATGGATTTGTTTACCTCGGTTCTCTGCCAGGTCAATAACAAATAAGTACTTCCTCTGGGGACACTGTACTTTAAATGTCATAATACTAGTTTGTAAGGTAGTGCTCGAAAATACATGCAAGGTTATTTAAAATTGTATGGCTTATTTTGCAGGCAGTCTGTCACTATGTCGATTGCTGATGTCTCAAATGTGTCCATGAAGCGACACGTGTATTGTAGCTCCGTGTGTTGGTTGGGGTTGTTAGCATTGTGAGGGTAATGCTGTTGTTTACAAAAATATATGTTTTTAATCAGTGAAAGGTATAACAGAACTTTCATTGTGAAAACACTATAATCTTTTAAGGTAATTATATATACAGTATATAAATATAGTGACTTAGTTATTTTCCTGGAGGGTGGTGAATGTTTTTTTGCATTGCCTTTGTGTTATTTTTTAGACCGAGTGGTGCAGCATGCTGTAATTGTCTGCTGAGCCCTTTTGCCCGGTTTTCGTGAGCTCTTTGGGCATGGACATGCATGTCAGGGAATTGATTCTTGACTTAGAACAGCAGGACTGAGATATGATGTTGGCCTTTGGGAGGCTTTCGTCTAGCAGTGGACAGATCATGGTGATAATGAGAACAGCCATATCTGTGAGCAGATAGCCTGGGCTGTGAAATTTCCTTGACATGTCATGCGTTTGTCATCATAGTTTTCATAATATTAGACAGTATCATGCAAGGAGAATAAAACAATGGCTTTAGGAAAGTGCTGCTTTATTAAGTGAAGTAGAGGATATTCTCAGCAGTGGATTCTTCTTCATACATCCTCAAAGAACGGCCCGGTGTGTTCGGTGTCTTTCTCGTAGTAAAGCATTGTCGCTATTAACAGTGGCCGTTCTTTATAGATAAGGGTTTCTGCCAGGGAGTAAGCACTAACAAGCAGTTCTGCCACTTAAACGCTTCTATTATTACTATCCAGGATTCGAAGTGAATGAATGGATATAAAAAAAAATGTTAAGTAAGGCCTCTTTAATGTTGCAAATTGAACAATTGTAACAGGCAGCTGCAGGGCCAGTTTTACGGCAATCGATTGTCCTATATGGTGTGTGTGTGTGCTCGATGTTAATTACTGCAATCAGTTATACACAAAGACTGTTCCAGTCCTCCTCGCCCAATCATCGCACATTGAGGCCCTCCCGCGTCGAGCGAGGAATCACCGCCAGCCCCGGGAGCGCGTGCGGGCGCTCACCGGTGACAAGAAGTCACGAGGGTGGTGGTGGTGGGGGGGTGGCAGGGAGGGAGCCACGCGGACGCCTCGACCACGCGCGCTCATGGCACGCGCATGAACTAATCTGGGTGCGCTCGCCGCGTGTTAACTTAGACGTGCTGCTACTATCCGTTGTCGGTATGTATGCCGCATCATACTGCTGGCCTGGACCGTGTGACGAGTGCTGCCTACGCGCGCGCGTGTGTGTGTGTGGCTGCATGGGTGGCTTTTGGCACCTCGAGTGCCCCGTATTATGAAGCCATTTTAAGACGCATTTTATAATGCTCGTTTAACAGTTACATGTGATGTGTACAAAGCATTTAAGGCGTATTTTAGACCTGCAATTAACTGTTAAACATTAAGTTTAAACAGTTACTGTCTAACGCAGTATTTTTTTATACTCTAATTTTATATACGGTGCCTATAACACGTTTGTACACTTTATAAAATATGCTATCAGTATACAATATACGGTGGATATACTTTAATCATTGACTGCTGTGACTAAGATACTATGAATAATGTCTGTCGAATGCAGTACATTTAATATTGTATTACTACTGTATGGTGTTAAATTGTGCATTTAAATGGCAAGACATTGATTTTGATTGCATTCTGACAATTTTGTTCAGTTTTTACAGTAATATTAACACAGTCTACTTGTGTAAATCTTATCATTTATTTACATTTTTGTGACGATAGTGATCTCATGCAGATTAATAAAGTGAACAAATAAAAGCATTTTTATTATTAGCCCACTGGCATTCCTCGGAAATTATTACAACATTGTATAGTTAATCGTTTATTGATAAAAAAAAAATACCTTACAGAGGACATTGTTCCATGTTCCCTGCCTGCCAGAAAATATTTATTTAAAAACATATTTAAATAAATAATTCACAGCCATGTGTCAATCCACTGCTGGATGGAGATCTCGCCACTCCGTGGGAAGTCTTGACCATATTTGACCACGCTGGTCAATGCGAGTTGGTGTAGAGGTATACTCGGGAACATTCAGGCATCATAAATAATGTTCGTCTCGGCCTGGAATTTAGTTCAGCTTGCTGGGTTCATTGTGGAGTGCACTACCTCGCAACTGCGTGCAGATATTACCTGAAAGCTTCTGCATGTTGTGTATACAGTATACTGTTTATGACGGATTAATGTCCTTTGTATACCAAGAGCAGACGCATTCAATTTCCAGTGATTAGCATTCTCTATAACTGTAGTTGTGCCGTGATATTTGAACCCTTTCTAAAGCTAAGGTTGGGTGCACGAATAAAATGTTTTAATATGAAGTTGTGTTGGTTATTCGGGATTTACCCGATTGAAAATTGGGCAAATTCATAAAAGGGTTGCCCAGGTAAAACCTTTTCAACCGATGTGGTGATGTCACACGTCACGTGCTCGTCTCCTTTAGCAATGCCATCATTACGCGTCTCATCCTCCCTTGGCGTTCCATGTAATGGCTCTGCTACTTGGAATGCACCATTAGTATGGCTCATTAAATACTTCTGAAGACAAAACGTACGCTTGAAAGTGTTATATACCATGCATATGCAAGATTGTTTTTCCTTTATTTTAGGTAATGTTAACATTTGGTGGGAATCAAACCAATGCCTCGAGCAATCTAACGAATCTGCCAGTGACCCAGTGACCATGGAACATTGGGCCAACGATCTCAACCACATCCCAATGTTGGCACGTGTACTGAGAAGGCGCCACATTAACTCGTTTCCCCTTGTTTGTTTTACATGCGTAGTTTGGTATATGTGGTATTTATTGTACAACGCATTCCTTGGTTTATACATACTTTCGGGAATTACACTTAACCACCACACGCACCTTTGCAGTATACAATAGTATAAACTCTATATTGCTGTTGTATTTGCTGCATCGTATATTTTGCCATTATTCTTGTGTATACAGTACATCCTGCATCAGTCTTTCTCTACATTAAACAAACACCTCTTCACGGCTGTGTGGCTGTTGCTAGGCAGCAATCAATGCGGACAAATTAAACATCAGCAAGACAATCTCTCATTGGCTCCCATGCCTGACGCATCCAGTATACTAAAGATTGTGCCATGCCGTAAGGCTTGGCAGCGACAATATACATGTGAGAAAATCGTGACGGATAGAACAGGGTGTGTGTATCGGCGAACGTGTCCGTGAAAAATCATTACCAATAACTACACGCAAACAAAAAAATTAAGTCTATTTTGTTTACATAATTTGATTGCATTTTGTGCACATTGTTGATTCTAATGTTTACCACGATACTCTTGCAAAAAAGGCATGTTGCTTCAATGGGGTTTCCTCTGGTTATTAATTTTAAAAAATCCATTCATCCACACTACAAACTATGCAACATTGCTTCAAAGTGGAGAATGCCTTGTGGATTCATCAACGAAAAACACGGTCCAAATGCCTCCATTTAATAGCTTTAACCGTGCATGCGTTTGCCTGCCTCTTTGTCGAAGTTTAGAACGTTCGATTACGTTTTGCATTAATTTCGAACTCCCTCGTTTGAAAGAGCAACATATATTATGCGCACATGATAGACACAAATACATAGCATTGTATTGTGCAGTTGAGTATTTGGTATGCTTCTTTATGGTGACCTACCATATACAGTGAGGGAAAAAGTATTTGATCCCCTGCTGATTTTGTACGTTTGCCCACAAACAAAGAAATGAGCAGTCTATAATTTTAATGGTAGATTTATTTGAACAGTGAGAGAATAACAACAAAAATATCCAGAAAAACGCATGTCAAAAATGTTATGAATTGATTTGCATTTTAATGAGGGAAAAAAGTATTTGACCCCTCTGCAAAACATGACTTAGTACTTGGTGGCAAAACCATTGTTGGCAATCACAGAAGTCAGACGTTTCTTGTAGTTGGCCACCAGGTTTGCACACATCTCAGGAGGGATTTTGTCCCACTCCTCTTTGCAGATCTTCTCCAAGTCATTAAGGTTTCGAGGCTGACGTTTGGCAACTCGAACCTTCAGCTCCCTCCATAGATTTTCTATGGGATTAAGGTCTGGAGACTGGCTAGGCCACTCCAGGACCTTAATGTGCTTCTTCTTGAGCCACTCCTTTGTTGCCTTGACCGTGTGTTTTGGGTCATTGTCATGCTGGAATAGCCATCCACAACCCATTTTCAATGCCCTGGCTGAGGGAAGGAGGTTCTCACCCAAGATTTGACGGTACATGGCCCCGTCCATCGTCTCTTTGATGCGGTGAAGTTGTCCTGTCCCCTTAGCAGAAAAACACCCCCAAAGCATAATGTTTCCACCTCCATGTTTGACGGTGGGGATGGTGTTCTTGGGGTCATAGGCAGCATTCCTCCTCCTCCAAAAATGGCGAGTTGAGTTGATGCCAAAGAGCTCCATTTTGGTCTCATCTGACCACAACACTTTCACCCAGTTGTCCTCTGAATCATGCAGATGTTCATTGGCAAACTTCAGACGGGCATGCATGTGCTTTCTTGAGCAGGGGGACCTTGCGGGCGCTGCAGGATTTCAGTCCTTCACGGTGTAGTGTGTTACCAATTGTTTTCTTGGTGACTATGGTTCCAGCTGCCTTGAGATCATTGACAAGATCCTCCCGTGTAGTTCTGGGCTGATTCCTCACTGCTCTCATGATCATTGCAACTCCACGAGGTGAGATCTTGCATGGAGCCCTAGGCCGAGGGAGATTGACAGTTATTTTGTGTTTCTTCCATTTGCGAATAATTGCACCAACTGTTGTCACCTTCTCACCAAGCTGCTTGGCAATGATCTTGTAGCCCATTCCAGCATTGTGTAGGTCTACAATCTTGTCCCTGACATCCTTGGAGAGCTCTTTGGTCTTGGCCATGGTGGAGAGTTTGGAATCTGATTGATTGATTGATTGCTTCTGTGGACAGGTGTCTTTTATACAGGTAACAAGCTGAGATTAGGTGCACTCCCTTTAAGAGTGTGCTCCTAAACTCAGCTCGTTACCTGTATAAAAGACACCTGGGAGCCAGAAATCTTTATGATTGAGAGGGGGTCAAATACTTATTTCCCTCATTAAAATGCAAATCAATTTATAACATTTTTGAAATGCGTTTTTCTGGATTTTTTGTTGTTATTCTGTCTCTCACTGTTCAAATAAGCCTACCATTAAAATTATAGACTGATAATTTCTTTGTCAGTGGGCAAACGTACAAAATCAGCAGGGGATCAAATACTTTTTTCCCTCACTGTATGTATTGGTCTGCAACCGTTGTATTATAAATGCATATTTTCATAACCCTGGTCATTATAAAACTATAACTCGAAGCCTAGCAGATGACAAGTAGAACACCAATGAGAGTAATAACTTACTTGCTTAGTGCACTCGCCACTGTGCCAGTCTGCCGAGAGTTAATGGTTATATTCCTGTAGTTGTCATAAATTACTATTGAGCGTTACCTAGGCATGCCCGCCCCATGGACATTAAAGACACGGGTAGCAGCATTTGTAAGACTAAATCATTGGGTGCCAAGCATCATGAAGTCTCAAATGTTACAATTATCATAAATGGCAATATAACAAGAAATAAATAATGTATGGCTACTCTGGAATCCCGAACTGCTCTACTCTCTGGATAAATACTCATACAAGTTATTCGCAGTCTTTTAAACAGACGAAATGTGTACATTTTAAACGAAAGTTTGGCCAATTTTCTCTCTGGCTAATATAGCAGAACATTATTTTCGTCAATGTATTTTTTAAGATTTGTTTTGTAATATATATGGTATGCAAGTCCAGGTAGTTGTATAAGCAAGGAGAGTAAATAGACGCAGGAAGGTTGAGCATAGCTGAGCACAAGTGTCTTTATTGACTGCGTCTCCTTTCTGACAAAAGCGACGTTATTGTTGGTGATGTCATTTCCGGTGACGTCATACTTCTAGAAACATCCGAAACGAAAAGAAAATGTTTGTATCGCGGAAAATGTCGTATCTAGGCCAACTCTTTATAATTTTTAATATGTTCACAAATACATATGTGGGATGAAGCAGCGATGCTGTGGTTAGTGCAAGTTGTGCACTATGAACCTGGTGACCTGAGCTTGATTCCCAGCCGTGGCTAACGTCAGTGGCAAGTGACATCTGAACCAGCCAGG